AGAAGCTTGAGACCAAAGTGTCAGCAAGTGGGTTCCTCTTGCGGTATGTAAAGGAGAAGCTTTCCCATGCCTTTCTCCTAGCTGCTGGTGGTCTGCTAGGAATCTCTTGCATTCCCTGGCTCGAAGAGACATCACCCTGATCTTTGCCTTCATGTTCACAAGGCATTCTCCCTGTGTACATGTCTGGTTCTGTGTCCCTTTTCTATCAGGACACTAGTCAGACTGAATTAGAGCCCACCCTAAGCTAATCATCTCATTCTAACTTGACTACCTCTACAAATACTCTATCTCCACACAATTTTTGTTGTCAGGCACTGGAGATCAGAATTTTAGCGTTATGAAGTTGTGGGGGTATACAACCTAACCCATAACAAGTACCTTCTGGGAAAAGAAAATATTCTCTTCAGAGCAAGTTGTGGTAACACCCACAACTACTACAAGCCACACAGATTCTTAGATGTAAGAATTAAAAGTAGCTTTCTGAAATGTATTCACAGTATTAAGGAGGATCTTTGACACAAAAAGTTCAAGAGGTATAAATCTAAATCCCTAAACTCTGAATTAATCCTCAATTTCATTTCCAACTCATTCATGGGTCAGAGTTACAACAGTTCTTCCTAGAGGACAGAAATGTCAGGGATTAATCCCTTTTCGGCAGAAGCTGAGGATTAACAAATTGGCAGCAATGCACTGGGATACAATGAAAACAAACTACTGACAAATGGCACTAGTGCTTTCATTTTTTACTCATGCCAGTCTCAGACGAACAGAAATGTAAATCGTCAGGAATAAAAGGTAAAAGAAGAGTGTACAAAACACACATAGCATTCATGGAACACCTACTATGCGCCTCTTTAAACTGTTAGCCTTGTGAGGACTTTCTGAAGAGCACAGGTAGGAAATACGGGAACAGAAGTGTGTGTGCTGCTTTTGTTCAACCACCATTAGTTTACACACCAAATGCCAATGATGAGAGTGAGAAAGCACTCCTCAGATTTCACAGGCAGCAAGGTGACTGCTCCGCAGCAGCCCCAAGACCCAAGGACAGACAGCACTGGGCTCATCACTCGAAAACGTGTCTAAAACCCACTGAGTTTTGAGGCAGCAAGAGTGCCCTCAGCTCAACTAACTCCCACCTGAACCCTGGGTAAGACTCCCCCTCTAAACTGCAGATTCCTCCTCAGTAACATGAGACACTTGGAGCACAAGTCTCCCTGGGCTGGGTGAGGATTACATGAAATTACATGAAGTGTTTGGCTTCCAGAAAGTCCTCTCTAACTGCTGGTCCCCTCCATAGTTAACTAAAACACTGGGTTTTTTTTGTGGGTTTTACTGTTGCTTTATTCCTACTACTCTCTATCAGAGACTCGTGATCATCTTTTCAACTAGCTGTATTCTCCTCCATCAAGCTAAGAATTAAGCTCCTTAGTAAAGGAGCCTGAGCTGTTTTGTTTTACTGCTTGTTTTTAACAAGGAAAACACTTTGGTGCAATCTGAGAACACTATACTAGGATATGCCTGCTGTTTAATGCACCAACTGTGAGCAGGAAGAGAGGACAACAGACCTTATTCAAAGAGTGGACTTCAGGGTCCCTCTTGCATAAAGGCGGACTATGTAGGTCTGGGGCAGGAACAAGAAGCTGCAGTTCTCACAAGCACCCCTGTGGATGTTGAGAGTGGGTGGTTTTCACCACACAGTAAGAGACACTGGTATCTTCAATTCACAACACTGACCTCCTAGAACATCACTTCCTAAAGGTTACAGTTTCAGCTACACAATGACATGAAATATCAGCACTGAGCCTAAGGGATAAAAGTATTCAATCTTCAAACCCTACAACTTCACATATTCTGAGTCAAATAAGTCACACTTTAGCATGTATTAATATCTTCATAGAATAAAACGTTAATAGCTACTACATAAATGTTAATTGGTGCTACATACTCTGGGAACATTCTAAAACCTCATGCTGTTAAATATAACCATTCCTCTTTGACTTTCACATTTCCTAGGTGCTAAACTTGCATTTCACCCCTTTGCTTCTCCAACTCAGCAGGCAGAAGCTAAGAAGTCTGTGGAAGGTTGCAAAGACAGCAGGACAGCTAGCATCATCAGTGCCTTGCTAAAGCACACTGGTGGAAAAAGAGGGGTGCAGGCGTCTTCCAGAGAACAGGACTCTACGCAGAGTACTCAGGGATGTCTCCCCTGAGCACGTGCAAATGCCTTTCCTCTCACCTCAGTTTCTTCCTGGACGTGGGAGGAAAATGTAGAAAGATGCTAAAGAAAATAGTGCCAGTGGTAACCTCATCTTTGAGACCAAAGATGATAACCTGTATAGAAAATGGAGAGAAGGTGGTTCATGGATGTTCTGTGTTCTTTCAGGTGATGGCCAGTCAAGTGCGACCACAAGAGGAGACACAGAAGGGACTCAAGTAAACCAATTTTCTTATATTCAAGGGTGCTGGAAACAGGATGCCTGGAACACCACACAGACCACGTGGGAAAACACCAGCATCATCTAGGAGGCAGAAGTGGCTGGAGAGGAGAGTCCAGACCCTGACCTTTGTTAGAGTTTCTGCAGCAAAGGCAAGGCAGGGCCAGCCAGGTCAACTGTTTAGGACTGGCTAGTTTGAATAACTTCACAAGTGCTAAGCTGTGACAGCGGTCCCTAGGGGCCTGGTTCCTGGCCCTAGATGGTTCAGGCAGAGGAATATTGCCTCCTGGGGTGCTGGGGCCAGTGGAGGCAGTGTGGCTGTGGACCAGGAGTCCACATGTCAGTGGTACTCCCCAGGTTTAGCCCTCAAATGACTCCAAAAACTGGCCAGCCCTGAACAGGACAGGCTCTCCCCAGGCAGAACGGCATCACAATACACAGAACATTAAAAACACAAATAATACAACAGAACCCTCTACTCTCTTTCAGCTTATTAAGAGGAGATTCAGAAGCCTTATTCTGAACCACAACTGAAACCTCTCCATGTCACGCCAAGGAAACCAGAGTCGATGACTTAAAAGAAATGGACTTCCCAAATACACTCAGTATGTTGAATGAAACACATTTGCTCTTGGCTTATAATTAGGACGTGCAAAGCTTTTCTGGCCTAACACAGGGGGAAGGTGGTAGGAAGTGTTGGCAAGGGTGGAAATGAGATAGAGGAACCATGGTGAGTTTTAATTGCCTAAAAAGCAACTCTTTACAACTTCTGGGAAACTTCTGAAGAAGAAAATGACTCAGCTTCAGAAAGTGTCACTGACCTCATTTCCAAAATAACAAGAGCTGCAATGCAGGGCATGCCCTCGTTCAAGGAACCCTGCATATAGATGGAACATCTCTGGGGACTATTCAGCTGACCAGCATCAAACAGCAGGGCTCCATTTCCACACAAACACATCCACCAATCCATTTTTCATGGATATCAACACATATGAATTCTTATAAATTCCAAACTTTAAGAGAAGAGAGATGCCCACAAGGGCTCAAAGCATCCAGACTTAGGATTTGTTTAAACTCAAGAATAATCTTAATTTGCGGTGCACTTTTCGCAATCCCCCTTTGCTACCCCAATTCAACCTACTCCTCCATACAGCCCTTCTCTATTCCCTTCCCCTCTCACAACCCACACACAGCAAATGACTAGGGTACTTGCTTTTCTTTACAAATTGTATTTATTCCTCTGCACTTAGATGCTAGCTTTTGAAATATCAAGTCAGATAACCATGAGGGACAGGCTAATTAATAACTAATAACAACTCACTGATGAACATTTATTATTTGCTAGTCTGCCAAGCATTTTATATGCCTTCTCTTCTTGAATCCTAACCATTCCAGGCACTAGGTACTATCACCATCTTCATTTTCCAGAGAAGGAAATCAAGGCCCCTCAAGATTAAGTGACTTGCCCAAAGTCATATGGCTACTAAGCAAAATTTTACTAAGTCAAAATTTAGATCTGGGTTTCCTGACTTGAGAGCCAAAAGTATAATAACTAGACTGCTAATAAGACATGGTTAGTTTCCACAAATGTCCAATTTAGACTACATGGGCATGTTCTCTCCACGGGCACGCTATCAGGCTCAGGGGCCACACTGCAGGGACACGTCACACCACAAGAAGGCATTTCACCCCTGGCAGCACATGGAGCAGCACATGCCAGGTGGTACCCTCGCTCCGGACTCTTTAGAGCTGTCACAAAGTGGCCACAGGTAAACGTCTCAGGGAAGGTAGAAATACCGGCCTGACAAAATGTGTAGCTTTTTCTTCTTTTTTTTAATAAAGGGGAGAAATTAAACAGCATGACAAGAGAATCATGCTGAGATCTAAGCATCTTTGTGCTAGCACTGCTGATCTTGAATAGACAGCTTAAATAAGCTTAACTCATGGCATTCATTCAAAGAATTAACCTGTTGCCAAGTAAAGTGTCTCAAAGAACTGGAATGCTGTCAAACCAGCTTAACACCATGAAATGGTACAACTTAATGAGATTCTATAAATCTCGAGGAACACAACACAGAGCTCCCTCTCCAAAGACTGATTTCACAAGTGATGTGTTTTCTTTCTTGGGTGCATACACACACTGGTAGGCGAAATGCTATAAATAAAAGCCCCTTTTTGAAATGAGTAGAACTTCTACTTTTCCCTTTACCTAATTCCTTTTTAATCATTTCATAAAAATTTTTAAGCAAAAAATCTCAAATAGCTGATACAATTGTGCTAAATAGATTTCTTTAAACATAAATTCACCCTCCTGAGACCTAACACACATTCCCAAGAAGGAAGACCTGACATTAAAAGAAAACCAACCAGGGCCTCAGTGCCAAATGCAAAGCACCGGGGTTGCTACACGGATTCCTGCAAACGAGCAAGTGGCCTCTATTCTAAAAGAAGGAATGGAGAAGGGAAAGGGGGGTAAAAACCCAAAATGTTATGACTGGATGGGACAGGTAAGAAATTCAAATTCAGCAATATTTGTTTCTAAGAAAAAGTGTGACAGCTGCTCACCTGTCTACTGCTTCCACGTCAAAGCAAAACCTCTTCTCAATGGAGTCTGTTTTCCGCCGTGTGCAGGATTTGAGGGTGACTGATTCATCTTCTCCCTGTTGCAACGACACAGACAGTCAAAATGAGGCCAGAACTCGGGCCAAGCTCCTCTTCTGGACAAAAATGTCACATAAACAGGAGTGATCATTTCATCTTCTAAGACCTAAGTATTCACGACCACAGGAAGTTGGTCACCAACTTCCTCAGGCCGAAGCCTCATGCAGATAAAATCTGTGAGCCATGTTCTACTTGGAGCCCAGCATCCTAGTATTGACAGATCATGAAAGTATAGCAGCAACACATGCTAGATTAAACTCTTGTTGGTATTGTTTTAAATAAGTTTAAACTGCAGGTTTGATAAGAGTTGAAACAAGACGACCTTGAGGTCCTCCTTCCAATTCTGAGCTTCTATGATCTTGGTTCAATGGCCACTTCTCAGGAAAACATTCCTGCACCAGGTCAAATACACCAGACATGCTCACATAACACATGTACCCCCCTCCTTCCCTCATAGCGCTGATCACAGCTGAGACCTGCTGCTGCCCTAAGGGATGATTCAAATGATGTCTCTCTCCTCACCAGGCTGCAAGCTCCCTGGGGGCACGTACCTAAGTCTGTTTTTCGCTTGCCCATGGGTCCCCAGAGACCAAACGGTCCCTGGAACAGAGTAGGTGTGCAATGAACATGTTTTAACAGCTTTTTGAGTATATATATATTTAAAGTATGTACTTTCTTATTGAAGAATAGTTGATTCACAATGTTGCGTTAATTTCTGCTGTCCAGCAAAGTCACTCAGTTATCTGCATACATATTCTTTTTCAGTTCTTTTCCATTATGGCTTATCACAGGATACTGACTATAGATCCCTGTGCTATACAATAGGACCTTGTTGTTTATCCATCCTATCACTCAGTCGCGTCTGACTCATTGTGACCCTATGGACAGTAGCCCTGCAGGCTCCTCTGTCCATGGAATTCTCTAGGCAAGATACTGGCATGGGTAGCCATTTCCTTCTCCAGGGGATCTTGAGTATAATTTTTAATGTATAATATATTGCATATGTTTAAGCAAACAACTTATGAGTTTTGACATCTGTATACATCCATGAAATCATCAACACAATCAAGGTAATGAACATTTCCATCAGCCCCACAAGTTTCCTCCTGAGTCCCTCTGTAATCCATCAGCCCTCCACCCAGTCCATTCCCAGGCAAACACTGAATCTGTTCTGTCACTACAAATTAGTTTGAATGCTCTGTAACTTTAGACAAATGGAATGCCCTTTTATTGCAGACTTCTTTCACTCAACATAATTCATTTACTGTTCACTCACACTGTGTGAATCAAGGGTTTATTTCTTTTTACAAATGATATGATCAACAAGGGGTAATACCCAAAATATATAAACAACTCATACAACTCAACAACAACAAAAAGCTAACACCTCAACTTAAAAATGGGGAGAAGAGTTAAACAGATATTTTTCCAAAGAGGAAAGGCAGATGGCCAACAGACACATGAAAAGCTGCTAAACATCACTAAACATCAGAGAAACACAAGTCAAAATCACAATGAGATATCATCCTACTCCTAGCAAAAATGACTATTATCAAAAAGCCCACATATAACAAATGTCAGTGAGGATGTAGAGAAAAGGGAACCCGTGTACACTGTTGGTGGGAATGTAAATTGGTGTAGCCACTGTGGAATGCAGTATGGAGGTTTTTCAACCAAAAGAAAACAAAAACACTAATTCGAAAATATACACATACTCCAATGTTCACAAAGGCATTATTTACAATTGTCAAGATATGAAAGCAACCTAAGTGTCCATCAACAGATGAATGGATAAAGAAGTGGTATAGGGCTTCCCTGGCAGTTCAGTGGTTAAGAATCCGCCTCGCAATGTAGGGGACACTGGTTTGGTCCCTGGTCAGGGTGGACCCCTCCTGCTGTGGAGCAACTAAGCCCACGCACCACAACTACTAAGCCAGGGTTCTAGAGCCCACGAGCCACAACTACTGAGCCCACAACTACTGAAGCCTGCACTCCTAGAGCCCACGCACCAAAACAAGCGACGCCACCACTACCGCAACTAGAGAGTAGTCCCCACTCCTTACAACTAGAGAAAGCCTGCGTACAGCAACAAAGACCCACTGTAGCCAAAAGAAACCATATATATATCCATTTTTAAAAAACAGAAGTGGTGTGTGTGTGCATGACACACACACAGACACACACACATACAACAGAGTACTACTCAGCCATTAAAAGAGGATTAAACTCTGCCATTTGCAACAATATGGATGAACTTGGAGGGTATTACGCTTAATAACGTAAATCAGAGAAAGACAAATATAGTATAATATCACTTATCTGTGAAATCTAAAAAGTGAAACACATGTGAATAGAACAAAAAAGAAATAGACTCACAGATATATAGAAAAAACCAGCGGTTATCAGTGGGAAGAGGGAAGGAGGGAGTAGCAAGATAGAGGTAAGGGATTAAGAGATACAAATTACTATGTGTAAAATAAATAAGTTACAAGGATATATTGTACAGCACAGGGAATATAGTCAACATTTTATAATAACTATAAATGGAGTATAATTTTAAAAAATTGTGAATCACTGTTTTATACCTGAAACATAGGTAGTATTATTGGAAATCAACTATATCTCAATAAAAAATAAACATTAATATTAAAACAATGCAAGCAATTTTTTAAATCCATGATACAAAACAAAGGAGCTTTTTTCTTTCTACTATTGGGTAATATTCCATCATACAAATGGAATGCAACAGTTTTGTCACACAGCACAGCACTAATTTACTGCTTAGAAACATAGAGCTTTCTCCTGATTTCTTCTCTTCCTGTCACATAGGAATTTTTTAGGGTTCCTTTTTCTCCTTATCTGCCAATGTTTCTTCCTAAACTAGGGGGAAATTAACAAACTCGCCTAGTCTGTTGAATAATAGGAAATGTGCATATGGTAAAACTTAATCACCCACTAATATCAAAATTACACATAAAACACAGAAGACCTAGGAAGAGACCATCTATATTCACAAGTCTTACACTATTGTCTTCTACTGAATGGCAAAGATTAACTTCTCAGATTGAGAAATGCTTCTTCTGCAATGCATAAATGTAGGACCATAAACACACAAGCATATGTACTGCTGACCATGTTATACTATCTAACTCTATTTCTGATTTAATGGTGTTGGACTGCCTCCCATTTTGAAAGTTTAGGGGGAGGGTGGTTTAGTCGCTAAGTTGTATCCGACTCTAGCGACCCCATGGACAGTAGCCTGCCAGGCTCCTCTGTCCATGGGATTCTCCAGGCAAGAATACTGGAGTGGGTTACCATTTCCTTCTCCAGGTTAGGGGGAGGTGTCCCTGAGAAGTAGGAGAAAACAGAGGATCTATACAAAACTGGCAAATAGGAGCAGAAATAAGAGGAATAAAAGAATCTGTTCCAAAAATGACCATAACACACCAGGAAAAATCTATAAAGACAATCTGTTCAAGTACTCATGGTTTTTAAAAATGGGGGCTAGAGATAACGATCATTTATATAAACAAAGGAAGAGTTATAACCATGACAAACTACAAAAAAAAGAAGCATGTTGTGCTACAAAAGCCTAAATTAAGGGGGTGTAACCTAGGCAAAAAGGTCAGCAAAGGCTTTCTTGAACTGAGACCAAAGGATTCATAGGAGATAAAACCAAGAACACAGATCAGAGTGGAGAACAACAGGTGAAGAGGGCCCCACAGTCAGGGTCCATGGAGCCCTGCAGGAACTGAAAGGAAGTCGGTGTGTCTGGAATCCAACAGCAAGAGGGAAAGAGGACTGAGAAAGGGTCTGAGGAAGACAGGGATCTGATCATGCAGATTATGGTCTGTATCCTGCGAGCAGTGGGAACATAATGAAGGGTTTCAAGCCAGGGAAGGGACAGGGTCAGCCTTGGGCTATTTCAGGGCTCCCACAGAGAGGGGCCTCATCTCACAAGGTAGAACTCAGGGTACTGTCTTTCACCACGCACAAGCCCTGTCTCCAAGAGGATGCAGAAAATCTGCTCACATCTACTGGACTGAGATGAAGAGAAAAGCGGGTACTTTCAAAGGAAAATAACCCAAATGCAAAGGGATAAGGAAGGAGAGAAAGGGTGGATAAAGAGCATGTTAGGGAAAGAAAACACCCTATTACCTATTTATCTGCACCTCCTAAGAGAGCTTTGCATAAACACGTAACACAACAACATCACATGTTTCTCCTGTATAAATTAAGAAGATATCACCTCTGGACAGCCAGTTCATGTCTCCTCCACCCTGAGGCTAAGGAAACATAGAGGTGTCATGGAAAGCTCTTATTTTATATTTATACATTTGCCTCAGAATCAGGAGATGCCAGCTCCAGAATCAGGGTTTGAGTACTGGTTTAGTAACTCACTGATCATACGGCCTTAGAAATCACTTTCTCTCTCTGACCCTCAATTTCCTCTTTTGTAAAGGAGGAAAAAATGGATCAAACAGGATGAGAAAGGACATTTTAGAAAATGTAAAATATAATATAAGTAATTATTACTAAGTAATTATTACTAGAAAAATGATTTCACATAATACCAAGCTCCCAATACGGCAGCATTTATTACGTATCAGCCTCTATTTTCTGTCCCAAGAAGTTTATATACACTAATACATATAAACCTCTTAACAACTCAGTGAGGTGTTTCCTTTTATCTCACTAAAGTGTAAGGAGTTCCACACACTCACCATAATTGGTTTCTGCTTTTCACTTTCAATGTGGTAAGAACAGAGTAGAGAAAATACAAGAGAGTTCCTTCATTCCAGGTTTAGGAAAGCACCACATAAACAGTCCCAAAATAAATGTGAGAGAGTAACTCAGTGAAGTTGATTTCAGAGATTCCCTTGTAGCTCAATTGGTAAAGAATCTGCCTGCAGTGCAGGAGACCCGGGTTCGATCCCTGGGTTGGGAAGATCCCCTAGAGAAGGAAACGGCAACCCACTCCAGTATCCTTGCCTGGAAAATCTCATGGACAGAGGAGTCTGGTGGGCTGCAGTCCATGGCGTCGCAAAGAGTCAGGCACGACTGAGTGACTAACACTTACTTACTTAACTCAGTGAAGTTGATTTCTAGAAGGACTAGAAATTAGAAAAGAACTGACTTGACCTAAGAAAGGCAGACCTAACTCTATTTCCATTTCATGATAATAAGGAACTCCTACTAACAGAGATTGTTAATACTCCTTCTAACTCTATAATTTCTCTATGTTTGATCATTTCACATGTCTATTTTCCTGGAATTATTTATAAGTCAACTCTACCCCTAACAAGAAACATTAAAAGTGCCTTGATTTTTTTTTATGCTTTGATACAGGGAAGGACAGAGATGCTGACCAACTCCAGTGTTGTGGCCCAAGAAAAAGAATGTCAGGAAGAGAAACTGGAAGTGGCAGAGAACAAGGAGGCAGCTTGGGGGAGCAGCTAACAGTAATGACAACAGTGTCATGCATCACTGACCTGGGCAGTCTAACCTCAAAGTCAGGGCTCTTCGCCTCTACACTGCAGTGCCTGCACACATGCAAGCAAACCCGACAGGATGCACAAAAATGCACCACAAAGAAGGCCGTGGTTGGAATACTTACAGAGGACTGCCTCATCACCGATCAGAACAGCAAAAATTTCTTTAAACTAAAGATAGAACCAGAGAAATTATCCAGAACACAGTCCAGAGATTCAAAGAAATGAAAAATATAAATATTTTTTATTAAAAGTATTTAAATATCTCCAGTAGGAGATAATAGAAAGAATGGGGAGGTGGGAAAATTCAAAATGATAAATGATAAGAATTTTCCAAAATTACTAAAAGACACTAATTCTCAAATCCAGAAAGGCCAAAATGCCTAAGCACAACAAATTCTTTTAAAAAATTCACAGAGGACCATCATAAATAGAATATTGAAAGGAAAAAGAAGATGATGATGTAATGTGCAGCCAGAGAGAAGCCAGATCAGACCTAAAAAGGCAATGGAGACAGAGCGCTCCCAGAAGAAAGGTGAACACTGGGGCACGGCAAGGCACTCCTAGCAGCAGTCTCCCCACAAATGCAGCCTGGCTCTTCTGATGATGGCCACAAGAATGTCTTTCACTCCACACGCTCTGCAGTGTAATGTGACTGTGCTGTTCCTCCCAGCAAGACAGGGTCTGCATCCTCTCCCGCTGCAACTGGGTGAGCTTAGGTGGGCTTTTATAACTGCTTCAACCAACACACAGGGCCAACATAAGTCTAGATCATTAAAAGGCAATGCAGTGTCTGCTTTTGTTGCTGGAAGATTCACTCCTGAAAACTTTAGCTGTCCTGAGGCTGCCATGCTATGAGGAAGCCCAAAGCAGCCCACGTAGAGAGGCCAGAGAACAGGCCTTGGAACTATAGAGAGCAAAAGACAAAGAGGGAGGAGAAGAGAAGAGGAGGTCAGGAGAAAGGAAGAGAGCTATATCTGATCAGCCCAAAGTTGCTTCAAACCCTTATGATCCAGTTCCAGTCACTATCTGATTGGAACCATTTGAGAAACTCTGAGCCCAAACCACTGATCCACATGCCCCCCAGTCCTTGCCCACAGAAACTGTAAGAAATAACTAAAATGACTGGTGCTGTTTTAAAAGTCACTACATTTTTTAGTGTTTTGTTACAATAAATAATTGGAATAGATATCTGGAAAACCAAAATGATAGATAGATAACTGGAACATCTAAACTGCCAACTGGCAGTCCTCTAGGTATCAGATGAAAGTGATGAAAATCAGTTTCACAGGATGCGGTCATCCAAGAATTTCCAGTATCTAAACACATTAACACACTTAATATTGCATATATTGAAATATAAGAATCTGTCTTAATTACAGCTTCTAACACAGCTTAGAACTAAAAATAATCATATTATTTATTTACTTTATTCAGATGACATACCCCCTGAAACTAATATATAAAAATGAAGAAAATTACAGTGAACATTGGAGATGTTACTGCAAACATGCATTACACTCATCCTGTGTTAACCAAATAAATCAAACATGAAATTTAAAAATGAACTCACCCCCTTTCCTCCTGACTTTTGGTCAAATGGTACCATGGTGATTTGTTTGGAATCCCGTTGATATGTACAGTAATGCTTCACCCAGGAAGTTCCAAAATGACCTGCAAAGTAATAGCCCCCATTAAACATCTCGACATGTCCACTGCATACTGGACAACACAGAACATGTAACTCACAGTGCTCACCTATCCTTAAACTGTTTCTAGGGGCAATATATTCTCCACATCAGCTGGACAACCACAGGCAGAAATCTAATCTCACACACTGGAAGTGGAACTAACCCAGGACTTTTCCCAAGGACCAAGGAAGACTTTTTCCCACTAAATGCTGCATCTGATGGGTCTTAAAATACAATGGAAGTAGAGGTTCTCTGGGGAAATTAATTCATTTTCCCATCATCAATTTCCATCTGAAGCTTCCTTTCTCTCCCCTGACAGGAGTAAGATGACTGAAAAAGCACACAGAAAGGCTCCTCAAAATGCCTGTCACCGTCCCCATCTGGTGCGATGACTTCATGCTTCCCACACAGCTGCTCTGTGATCACGTGCACAGATATACAGGGGTGCTGACCTACCTTCAAACTCCTAATTTTTATTTCAGCAGAACTCAAGAAGATTTGAAAAGCAGACAAGGAAAGCCCAGAGAAACTAGACATGTGGAACGGAAGTAACTATAAATGCTCAAATGTAATCTAAGTGTTTGTCCCTCAAAATTATCCCTCGGCAAAGAGGCAGGTGCCCTGCAGACAAATTCTTACAGTTTCTTATTCTACTGGTGCCTGGCCAATTACTTTATTTCAAACAAAGTACTATTAGGGGAAGAAGGCCTAATTGGCATTGTTAACCTGCAAAGACCTCAATCAATATGAGTTCTGGATGCTTATAGAGATTGCATAGCAGATATGATTAAAAAAATAATAATGATAACATGAAAAAAGATTCAGCAGACACTTAATAGGTTATTTTTCAGGGTATGAATACCTATTGCAAGCATTAGATGTCACTTAATACACTAAAAAAGCAATGGAGTGTTTATATTGCAGCATCAAGGACAAATGAAAACAGCAACTATTCTCATGTGTTTTTGTGGTTTAAGAGAATATAGTCCAATGATGGCACAAAGATTTCAAAAGTGCTGTATATGTAGCTTCTGCTTCTTACAAGCCTTAACAAGCTCATACCTGTAAGAATAAGGGACATAAAACTCTCATCACAACTGATACTCCAACTTCTAATCCCATTACTACACCATTGTCACCAGGGAACAATTTTATGCCCAAGCAAATTTCTGAGTAATTGCTACACAGAATAATCACTGTAAATATTTTGTTTCATAAGAAACTTCTAGGAGTGAAGACATTTGACAATCCTAATCAACAGTGCCCAGATAGGAGACTATAAGAAAAACTATCAATTAAAGAAAAACAATGTCCTTTCTTTAATCTCTAGTACTACAGGCATGAATTAAGTCTGGGGGTGCTACAGCCCACTGCATAAATCTGAGTCATCACTGAAAACCCTAGGTTAGCAGCACCTAGCATTTCTTTCCTTGACGTCCTATGTGCAAGTCAATGGCCCTTCTCCCTGGCTTGTGAAGTAAGCTTTTCTTTTTACTTTTCATAAAATTTAACTGTTGGAATGACAGGAGTTGAAGTGAAGAAGAAAAGGGCCAAAGTCATGGTAGTTTAGGCCTTGCTGAAACAAGTCTCAAAAACAACTATTATTAGGTCTACCAAAGGATATGACTATAAAGTCCAGCCAGTTAGACCTCTCCAGGGCCTCTACACCAAGGCTGTGGTATGTAAAGCTATACTGAGGGTACACAGGCACCTGAAGGGGAAAGGTGGCACCACAGAGCCTATGAATTCCAGGTTGCAACGGGATTCCCAGTTACACAGAAAACACAATATATCACGGAGATAGGTAAGACCTTGTGGACAGCATCTTTCCCCTAGAAAGCTGAACTATAAAGTCATTCTCCTTTGACCAAATAAATGCTCCATGTCAGGCACTACTGGATACACCCCCTGGGGAAAAAGGCATGAGTACACCCACGCTGCTGGTTGGCCTGGCACTCACGTTTCTCCTGGACATAGAGGTACCCTTCCATAGTGTAAGGACTGATGGTCTTGTGCTCAAGGGGATTCTCCTTCATCTTCTTCATCAGGGATTCCACTTCCGACCTGGTGCCTTCAAAGCGATTTCTTGTCTAGGATGAAAGGAATTTTATCCAAATCAAAGAAATGAAACCCTCTTTGTTTCTCCAGCACTTCAGAGTATCAACCTACAGAATCCTAGGTCTAAAACCAAGTGAGGAATGTTCAGCTATCAAGAAATAAGGCAAACATTCACTTTATTGAAGTATACTTCGGCCTGACAGCCCTATTCAAGAATGACTCTCAAGCTCTAGGGACCATCAAAATCACGTGGGGAACTGGCAGGAAATGCAACTCACCAGTCCTCACCCCCAAAGATAAACTTATCACCTCTCAAACCAGAAACTTGAGTTTCTAGCAAGCGTCCCGGCAACTCCGAGGCAGAGAGCCCACAGCAGGGCAAGCCCTCCACCGCCCTCTAGGACAGAGGTGCTCTCACCCTGGCTGTTGGCTGACAGTTTCCTCCTCAAATCCAGCTGCTTCACGTGAGGTTCTCCCTCCCCCAGGACAGCCTCAGTACCCAGGGGAGCCCAGGGACACTGCAGCTCCAGGGGGCCTGTGGCATCAGCTGAGGCCTCACAGCTCAACGTCTCCCTCTGCAGGGCCTGCTGCCCGCAACTCTCTCACAGGTGTTTTTGCCGACACTGCCTCCTGGGAACCTGGTCTATGTAAATCTCCGCTTCAGAGCCTGCCTTCTGAGAAACCCAGCCCAACGGGAGGCCATACTTTGTGAAAGCTCGTCCAAGACCCTGCAACTTCCTGTTCTCAGAGGCACCACAGGGAACAATGAGAGCTCGGGCTTCCAAAAGCATACAGCCCAACCCACTAGGACACACTTGGGTTTATTTGGACACAGGACCACCCAGAGACAAAGACAACATGCAGACTAATGTGATCACATTAGGGAAGAAAGGGGTTTAGTCCCAGTGAGACTGATCAGAGGCCTAAGCAGGATTCTGTGCACCCAAAGGTCCTGCTGCTTACAGTTTGGGAAAGGAGATTGGGAGTAAGGCGCACTGACTTGGATTTCGTCACTGCGAGTTGAACAAGAGCACATCCTTTGAGCTGGAGGCCAGCATGTGTGCCCCACCCCCTACTCCTAAACACACACAGTCTACTGTTTCAAGTGGCCAGGCAGCTGGACGCACAGAAGGGAGGCCGGGTGGGGTTGGGTGGGGCTGGGACTTCCACTGCCAAAGGAAATCCTGATGCCGGCGCTACAGATTTAAAACAGCAGCAGCAGCAGCACTTCCGCAAACAGAAATAACGGAGCTTTGAAATAATGTGCTTTGAAATAACGGAGGTGAGGATGAACTCTGGGACCACCAAGCACCCTGGAAATGACTGCCCTCTGCTGCCCTTTGAACCCAAGCAAGACCCATCCTCCCCATCTGCATTCCCATCCATTTACGCGATCTCTATGCAACCAGACCCATATTTTGTTTCTTCCTCCCCTTAACAAGGGAAGGAAGCCCATCCCCTCGCCCACTCACGTTCTGTATGCTGATAGTCAACTGTGTCTTGAAGTCGTTGAAGTCCTTGGCCAGTTCATAACCATGGTGATAAAAAGTGAAGAGTCCTTGTAAAAACGCCAGTAACTGTAATGAAGGCAGAGGGGAAGACCTCACATAAGCCGGTTCAAGAGGTATTATGGAGCTGTATCTGAGTACCCAGCCCCAGTTTGAATGTAATAATAATGACAAAGTAATGATAATGACTATCATTTACTGAGCTCTTCTTACATGCCAGGCACTTGGGACTTCATATGCTCCATCTCACTGAATATTCCTAACAGTAATATTCATTTCATAGGTTGTTATCTCCATTTTAACTATAAGGAAGCAGATTCAGAGAGATTAAGTAACTTGCCCCCAAACACACAGTATATAACAGCTAGGATTTGAAACCAGGTATCCTTGGCACCAACACCCAAGCTCGTATCCTGTGAGCCTCATCACCTCCTAAGAAAATCACTTCTTCAGAAACTAAAGACGAGGGGTCCCACTCAGTCTCCTTCTATTAAGTTCATAACATCAGGTTATCATGCAAAAGGATGTAGTTATACTGATAAAGAACAAAGAAGATAGAAAAGGAAGCTGGTGTGTCCTGAGTCTGCAGCCTAACAGGCAAAGTCAAATCAAAGAAAATCATCCAGATTAGACATTAGTTCAAGTGTGTTTCTGCACTTGCCATAAATTATCCAAAAGTCAACACCCTGGATCTCTTTATTAAAATAATCCCATGTTCCCACATGTTCAGTTAAGATGGTTTCTCTAAATTCTCATTTAAAGTGCCTTGGGCTAAAAGGTAAGGGCATTCCTTATTTAGACTTGTCTTTAGTGAAGACTGAAAACATCTGTTCACCATGATTCTCACAACAGGCCTTCATATACTTAAAACCACTAATGTCCCAACCCTGAGCCTTCACTTCTCCAGGCTAAATAAACGAATGTCCTGCCATCTTTCCTCTCATCACACACATGGAACCTCATTGCTGTTATGCTTCCTGGCCCTTTCCCAAACTCTACATATCCTGCCTCGGTCCCATATCACAAGCTGAAAGAATTATAATTAAAGCCTGAACACGGTTTAGAATAACCAGGACCCCAACTCTATCACAAGCTCAATTCTACTACATTTGGCGATCAGTCCCATTCTAACATGAACGTCTCGATTATGACTCACATCGTTTGAGTTGTTCCCCTCAGACCTGCCTCAAACACGTTGTATCAAGACACAGCTGCATCACTTTATACTGTTGTGTTTAATCTTCTAGTCCTTAAATGAGCATACCTTTACTTATTACACACAATCTCATTTGGTTTCACCTAACTCTCCCCTTCTGAGAAGCAGCCCTAACAGTGAGAATAAAGGAGAATCTTACACTTTGCCTGTGGCAGGAATGGTAAACACCAGGGTATATACTGATCTGCCTTTAGGCAAAGCCACGTGTCCAGCCCACTTTATCAAAGAGCTTTAGACTGGAAAGTCAGGCAAGGTGCCGCTTTTAACAACACGGTCCCTTGACTTCCTGTTGCCACTGTCCCTGGAGCATCCGTTCCCTTACATCTTCACAGGAGGTAAGGAACAGGCATTGCTGGGTCCTCTGGCTAGAAACATATCTAGGGGCCCATTTCTACATCTCTAACCTACATTAAGGAATGGGGGGTAAGCCACAGAGAGTCACTAAGGCCTAAAAATGAACTCTCTTCCTCAAGATGACCACAGTCTTTGGACATCCTCTATTTCTGTGAAGAAGGCCCATACTTTTTCTTCTAAACAGCTCCAGTAATGGAGAAGAAGGGGCTCTCGTGCCAAATCTAGTGCCAGTGTTCAAAGGACAACTGTCCTTCCTTAACTCTTCCCTCCCTGTTGTCCTTGAATGCTGGTGCTCCATCAATGTTTCCAAGGCACTGAGTCACCCTCTACTGGAGAATGATGCAGAATATAAGCAACTGATGCTCAGGGGATTCCTCCTATCAACTCTGAGTTATCCTTCACTTAAAATCAACAGGGCCTCTCTTACGCAGGGTAATTATCTCAAACAGCTCGCTAAGATGTCACCTGCATATACACACAAGCACTCCAAAGGCACAGAGCTGCTAATATTTATTTTGGTTTTCATTTCCTTTGGTATCATGCCTGGTTGTCCATTTTTCTACAGAAAATGATGCCTTAAATATTGTTATCTTTGGACCACTTCCCTTCCTTCTCCCCTCACAGCATCTTTCCTCCCCTCCCTGACCTCCCACACACTGTATGCATCTCTGAACATATGACCCATGGGAAACGAAAGTCCACTGCTCAGGGGGTGAGCAAGGCCCACAGAAAGACTCCAGAGAAGAAAGGACAGGTCCACTTCAAAGAAATGCTTCTCCTCATGCAGAGAGAAGTTTGGCTGTGGCCTTAGCTGGTTATTAGGTAAGAGAAGCCTCCTGTGCAACCAGGCTCCTCCCTGGACACCAGACACACAACCACAGCAGGACAAAGGAAACGCCAAGGAGAGACCTTACCACTCTCCCCCTCCCTTCCTCCCCATCCTTGCTTCCTTCTGAGAATTACTGTAAGAAAAATCTCTTTCTATTTCCTAGCTGATCACATAGATTTAAAACAAAAAATTAACAAAAGAATAACTGCTTTATTAGTGATGGCTGCATCATTCTGGACTCTGATAAATTTAAGTAGTTTCCATTCACAGAACAGAGCTACTGTTTTGGGTTGAATTTTGCCCCTCTATATCCAAAAGGTATGAAGTCTGAACCCTAGTATTTCAGAATGTGATTTTCTGTAGAAACAGGGTCTGTACAGTGGTAATAAAGTAAAAATGAATCCATTAGGCCCTAATCAAAAATGACTGGTGTCCTTGAAAACCGGGGGTTGGGGGGCAGAGTTTGGACATAGTAACAAACACAGAGAGAAGACAGACCTGTGAGGATGAGGAACTGAAGTGACTGATCTATAAAAGCAAGGAATGCCAAACACTGCCAGGAAAGCACCAGAAGCCAGGAAGAGGAAAGGAGGGATTAGTTCTCTAAAGGTTTCAAGGGGAGCAGGGCCCTGCTGACCTCGATCTCAGACTTCTATAGCCTCCAGAACTATGAGTCAGTACACTTCTGCTGTTCTGAGGCACCCCGTTTGTGGTACTTTGTTACAGAAACCATAGCAGAAAAATACAGCTACTAAGAACCATTCATGCATGCACACAGTGAAGAGAAGGGCTGCCGGCAGAGAGATGAAAAGCTGGGCTGGGGAAGCCACGTAACTCCCTGTAACTCATCCTTAACCTATTAGCACACTGGGCCACGGCAAAGACTGAGATCATCTATGTAGCCAACTTAGCACAGGACTGCTGGCGGCGCCACTCAGCGAGAGAGACAGACGCAGACCAAGGTATCAGAAGGGACACTGAGCTGATGGGGTCGGGACAGGACGCCACTGACCACAGAGAAAGAAGGACAACCTGCAATGGAGCAGGAGCCGTGAGAAAGGACAGAAAGGCAGAGCACCGAGAAATACTCAGGAGGCGAAACTCAGAGGCTGCGGAGCCTGACAAATGTGGAGAGTGAGCTCTCCTCAGCACGAGGAAACCGCCAATTACGAAAACTCAGGAACAGACGGAACAAGGCTTTACCTTCGGGAAGCCATTAAGTCATTATCTATGATTCCAATCTCCAGAACATTCAGTACCTCAACAAGAAAATTAAGGTTTCCAGGGCACAAAAATAATAGAGGGTTTAGATCCCAGAAGTCTGACTTTTCTACCTTGGCATGCTAAAATTTTGTTTTTCCAAAGGTAGGTAACATCTTGGTACTTGAAGTTACTTTCTAAGAAACAAATGAACATAGTGGATGTGCATGGAGGTTCCCTGAACGGCTGCAAGATTCCTTTGACTGAACCAACTCAACACATGAACACTTATACCAGGCACCCCAACAATTTAGTTCAACTGATTTTTTGTTGGTTTCCTTTCCACCTGCAAATAGTCAAATGTTGTTTCAAATAGAAATTAAGAGTCAGACCATTACAGCTCTGCCATTTACTAGGTGTGACCTTGCAGAGGTAAATAAACATGCTTCAATTTCTTTATCTGAAAACAAAAACAGGAGCTACCCTTATATAATGATTGAATGACATGATGTGGCAAAGCACTTATTACTTATACAGAACATAACAGAATTTCAGCTGGTATCATCAAGTGTTATATTCTTCTTCTGTACAACCTAGGCCAGTAGCTTAAACTTTAATGTGCAGCAGGATCACCTGGCAGGCTTACAAAAATATAGTTGACTAGATCCCACTCCCAAATTTCAGGTATGGGTTACAGCTTGAGAATTTGTATTTCTAGGACTTTGAGAACCACTAATCCAGTCAGTAGCTTTTTTGCTATATGACTCTCTTCTCCCTACTCACAGCTCCAGCCACTCACCTGCTTGTCTACTAGTATGCTCAGAAACAAGAACTTCTGTGGAAAAGTGAAGGTTACATATCTATATCCAACCTCTCAGACAACTCATTTTTTAAACAAATATTTATTTATTTGGCTGTGCTGGGTATTAGTTGTGACATGCGGAATCTTAGTTGAAGTCTGTAGGATCTTTAGTTGAGGTATGTGGGATGTAGTTCTCTGACCAGGGATCAAACCCAGGCCCCCTGCATTGGGAGTGCAGAGTCTTGGCCACTGGCCACTCAGCCAATTCTAACACAAGGCCAGACATTTTTTCATTAGCTTTCTAGGTGCCTCACTTTATGAACTCAAAAACATCTGCAATCCACAATGGTTTTCTACTTTTTAAACCCCTCTTTCCATCCCGTCCAACCTGGCACTCACCTGAATGCAACTTTGGCTAGCTCGTTACTATACGATGTTGCTTCCCCAAGGAGGCTGTGAGCTCCTCAGACAGAGCAGCTGGGTTGTCAGTATTTTCTATGTATTCAGAAAAAAATGCTTTCAGATTTATCAAGACTGTACTAAACCAAGCAGACCCTGTTAACACTGCCACTTGACTCATTCACTCATTTGAAGAAGACCCTAGGTGGCCAAAATTGATATAGTCCTCTGTCTCAGAATTAAAAAAAAACAAACAAACAAACTGTTAACTGGGTCCTAATAAGCAACTATATAATAACTGAGTGTTAATTAGGTTAGCACTTCCCTGGTGGCTCATAAAGAGTCCACCTGCAATGCAGGATATGCAGGTTCAATTCCTGGGTTGGGAAGACCCACTGGAAAAGGACATAGCAACCCATTCCAGTATTCTTGCCTGGAGAATCCCATGGACTGAGGAGCCTGGTGGGTTATGGTCCACAGGGTCGCAAAAAGTCAGACACAACTGAAGTGACTGAGCACACACGCACACAATTAGGTTAGCTCTATTCTAAGCATCTTACCTGGATAAACTCAGGTAATCTTCCTAACATCTTTATAAATGGGATTGTTATACGTATTCTGCAGATGAGAAGACTGAGGCTCACAAAATAACTTCCCAAGAACATGCACCTGGAATATGACTGAGCTGAGATTTAAAAGCAAGCAATCTGGTTCTAGAGCCCTTGACAATGATGCTACACTGCCTCTCAAAAAGCTCAAGACACTGATATATTACACTAGAATGCCAGGAAACAGAAAGGTAAATCCTTACAGATTTCTTTTAAAAAAGAGGAGAAAGAAAGGGAGGAGGAAAGCTCACATAGATGAACAGAGTCATCCAGCTGAGACCAGCCTAGACTGGATGAACCCCACAGATGTGTGAGAAACATCTACTGTTGTAAAAGGTTTTATGGTTATTTGTTACCCAACAAAAGCTAACAGATACAGTATCTGATTTACTATATGGAGAAATCATAATGAACAAGGAAAAACACCTCCAAAAAATAGGATGGGTCAATTAAAATGCAACTCATCAAAATCAGGCATTTATAGAATAATAGCAATTAATCTCTACATAAAGGTTATTAGAATCATACTTCTGTTTTTCTATAGAAATTCTAGCAAAAGCAAGTAAAAATGCCAAAGGCTAATTCTTCATGACAGCATTTGAATTCCTGCCCCAACCATGACAGATGAGACTATAACTGAATGGCTGGTTTTAACACCTCTGGGCCCCAAGCACGGAAATCAACAAGCTTGCTTTCTCTGACAGATGGCTTCCCCATCTCACAGATCCTGCAGAAAGACAGGGATTTTGAGATCTTGGTAGAGATCACTGCTAGAAAGGAAGATGTCTCTAAAATTTCCAATATTCAAGTAAGACTGAGGTAATTAACTACTTTGAAGAATTTGCCAGATGACATGGCTGGGAGGAGATCCCAAGAACATAACAGTTTCAGCAAAGTAAAAGACAGAAGCATCAGATTTCAAGACCAAACAGAGTCTTAAAATCACCTGCCAGTCTACACACCTAAAAAGCACTCCCAAAATTTATAAATTAGAAAGGGGGCACAAAACACTCTTAAACAAAAAGGGAGGTCATTTTCTTTCAGTTTCTTATAGTTTTATTATTTACTAAAGAAAATCACTCTTTCTTAAGTTTAGGTAATCTTATTCGTAAAGAGACTCAAGGCTTGGGTCTAAATCAGAGGTTGTATTTGGCTGAAAAGTTCAAGATCTACAAGTCTTAAATTGAGGCCCATAAGCTCATTTGGTGTCTCCACGGATTCTGAACACTAGTGCCACAGCAGGGTTAAAGCAGTACCACATCTCCATGAAAGCACAGCCACACTGGGGTGGCCTAGGCTACAGCCAGACTTGTTCCACACTGTAGCCCTACATGCCCAATGGGATGTTCCACCCAAGTCCAAATCCCATCACAGTCCCTCAGGGCAATCTCCATGCCTCTTGGTTATAACAAACCTAGAGTGAGAAGCTGCTTCCTATCCCATCTTTTTAATACATGTCTGGGATAAGAAGGGGCTTTGAACTTAGGGGACAAAAAGAGAAAGGTTTCGTTGGGTTACTGCTACCTTTGGGTTATTTGAGGGAGAGAGGAAGCGGGGGCGGGGGTGGGGGCTCGGGGGCAGGCAGAAGAAGGAGAAATGGTTAAGAGGTCATCACTACTGTTTGGCAAGATGAAAACTCCTCCCCTCCCTTACCCTGACTTGGAAATGAACCAGCCCAACACAGAGTGGCTAGAGGCGGGAACCCCTGCAGAACATTCTCCGTCCATGTCTATGGTTGCACTGGGAAGAATCCAGGGTACTCGGGTGACAGCACTGTTACTAGCAGAAGGCACAGCATCAGGGCTGGTCAGTCTCTTCACTAACAACTTAGGGCATTTTGTCATCTAGGTAACTGGAATGAGGGGTGGGGATGAAAGTCTGGGTACAGAGCAAAACCCTGAGCATCTACTTACAGGCTCCACGAACTCAAACATCTTCCTCTCTTGGACTTCCTGCACCTTGAAGACATACTCCAGGGATACTTCATAGAAATGCTGCCGAACCAGGTCCACTTGGCTGTCTGCCTACAAGCAAAATGGGATTTCAGAGAAAAAGCAGGTCACTATCTGAGGAGAGAATTCAGTAAGCAGCTCCCCACCCCCACCCCCAGCCAAGAAAAGATCTCCAGAGATGGTTTTTAAAAACAAATCCAGTAGCATGAAGCAGAAATCAGAATAATGTTCATGGTTAACTGAGCGCTAAGTTTGGGCCAGGCACCGTACCCATAGCTGTACATCATTATCATATTCAATCCTCCATTTTAGTTATTTAATCCTCATTATAATCCTAAAAAGAAGATAACATCCTTACCCCTAACTTACAGGAAGTAAATGAAATCGGCTAACATTAAGAAACCTGACAGAGTTGGTACAAGACAGAGCTGGGACTTCTGTCCTGGCTGCTCTTTCTCCAAGACCGCTGTACATCCTTAAACCTCTAGATTCCTCCACCTTCCCACAGTGGGGCAGACCTATGTTCCATGAAAGACAGAATTTTAAAGAGAAAAAGAAAATGTGCAGGACCATCCTCATTCATCCATCCTAATGAACAAACAAGCTGATAGGAGACAGGAGACCTCAGAACAGAACATTTTCACTCACCCCAAACACCTTCTTTGGACAAGGATGAACTACTAGTTTATAGCATAATTGGGCTTCCCTGGTGGCTCAGTAGTAAAGAATCCACGTGCCTATGCAGGAGACCTGGGTTCCATCCCTGGGACAGGAAAATCCCCTGGAGAAGAAAATGGCAACCTACTCCAGTATTCTTGCCTAGGAGATCCCACGGACAGAGGAGCCTGGTGAGCTACAGGCCACGGGGTCGCAAAACAGTCAGACATACTTACACTAGCAGTTGGATGTGTTAAGTCCCTCCTGTCCTTGATTTCTCGTGGTGCAAATCCAACACACTTATACCAGGGACCCACCTACTTCTCCCCACACCCTGGACGAACAACAAAGCAGAGTAATTATATTGCTCCCTCAAAGCCTCACCTCCAACTCTTGCAGGTCATGAGACCTGGAAAGACCCACAACTGGGTACAAGTAGGTCAGTGATCTGGGATCCAGAACCCAGGGGAGAAAATGACTGTGTGGAGCAGCAAGAAGCTGTGCTGAGAAGTGCCTCAACTATCACTACAATGCTCTTAAACTTTCAACAGTGTGACGGAAGTCAGTTCATTCTCTCAAAACAGGTAATTACACTGAAAGCACATTTCAGTGACAAAAGAATAATATGATTTTAAAAAAACAAAAATGGATATCCTGCTAATAGGAAACAAAATCACTCTTTTCTTTAGAAATAAAGGTGTCAGGTGTCATTCGATGTCAGCTTTACAAAGACAAAGCTCCCAAAGGAGTATTTCTTTCAGCGTTCCTTTGTCAAGATTCCTGCAGAGCCAACCTGGGACAGACCTTTCAATTTATTAGGTATTACTAACAAACATATGGTATTGCTAACCTTGTATCTTAAGGACTTGGCAAATTGTTCACTCATTCATTGGGGTGCACAGTGTAATGAGGAAAAGAGATAAATAATTGTGTAAATAAAAAAAAAAATTTACAAACTCTGGAAAAGGACGAGGTGCTATGAAACAATCCAAAAGATCCATTCAAGTCTCCTGCTAGTTACTTCCTCCCAGGGCAACTTCCATATTAATACAGAGAAGGTCCCAGGTCCCTAAGTTTAACTACTGCACAAATCAACATGAAGGGCTAAGCCTGTGGGCAGGCGTTTCCTAAGCCTCCAAGCGGGAGAGTTGATGTCTGAGCACTGACGGAGCTTTATTTGGAGGACAGAGTTCAAAAAGTGCCGTACTAAGCCCCTCTCCAGGGTGGCCAGCAAGGGTCTACACACTTCCACCTGGGCTCCTGCCAGCTAAGGTCTGTAAGTCCCTGCAGTTCTTGATTTCTTGCAGTGCAAATCCAACACATTTACACCTGGGGACACATCTACTTCCCCTGACTTCCCCCACAACCTGAATACATCCTCCCTGCTTGGACTCGCCAAGTGAGGCTGCAACAGAAAAAAGGGCCTTTCTGAAAAGCTGCAAGTTAGGCCAGGCTGGAGGCGCCAGGAGGAAAGTCCTCCGAGAAGAGTAGAGCCCAGCATCAGCGAGAGTGCCAGGAGAGCAACCACTTGGATGGAAATCGCAGCTCTATCATTTTCTAGCCGGTGGGGCCTGCTACAGCCACTTATCCTCTCTGGGTCTCTTCCCCACACCTGGAGACTGGGGATGGTATGACTTGCCCTTGCTCTGAGCAGAGCTGTTTCGAAGAGAAAATGAGTTAAAGGATGTAAACAATTTGAAAACCAGGATGTGTTCCGTGTACACTGAGTGTTACCACCAGGGAAGTGGAAGCAGATGGGCTTCAAGCCCTGCTCCTACCCTAAACCAGCCACATTTTCTCTGGACAGTGGCAATCTTCTCCTCACTGGCCTCTCTGCTTTCTTTCTCTGCCCCCATAATCCAATATCTATCCAGCAGCCAGAACACTTTCCCTAAAATCTCCATCAGATACTTTCACAGCTCCTTCGATGCCTTCCCCTGGGCCCTACTATGGTCTGAAGACCCTGAGGGGCCAGCCCACCCCTCTCTCTCCCCCTCAATCCCTCCCTCTCCTGTTCCAACTGGGGCTTCTAGCCAACCTCCAATACTCTAAACTCTTTCTTTCCATGCAACTTCTGCACTTGTTGTTCCATCTGCCTGAAAACCCCTCTCCATAGATAGATGTTCGATTTTTTGAACTTTAATGCATTCTGAGAAATATCTTTTGCACACGACTCAATAAACATACATATATAAGTAAATGCAACACACTTTCATCTTTTTCATTCTATTTCATCCTACTCTACTCTATTTCATGATCCAGTAACTCAGATCTTATGACACATGCACAATTTAAAGGACACTGTCCTAGCTTTTAACCCATGTTGCTCCTTTCTCTTCCCCTGGTCTCATTTCAAATGTCCCCTCTTTAGAGAAGCCTGAGTTGACATTATTTTAGGAAGGTTACCCCGAGGAGTTTATATCCTATCTCCCAATTTATTTCCTTATCACTACATGAAATTCTTATTTATTCTTCTTTCATGTACTTCCTAGTAGAATATAAAGTCAATGAGAGTAAAGACCTTGTTCCACTTTTCCATTTCAGACCCCAGAAAGGGGCCTGGCCCATAGCAAACATTCAACTTGATGCTTGAGGAACAAAAGAATTGATCTCTATGTGAACACCAGTGACCCAGCACTAAGAAGTAAAGTGTAACAGAATGCATTTCCAATGGAAAAGGGAAAAAAAAAATCCCAAGTGGAATGGCATGTTTCTCCTGCAATGACCCTCTCATCTGGGCCACTGAATTCACCCACATCCTTAGCAGTTGCTACAATGGAATCAAAACCCAGATTCCAACCCCTGAGTAGGCAGTTCTGTTACTCGAGAAGCTGTCAACCTACCAGCTTGTCTAAGACCCACCAACCACTCTGTGCTTCCTGGAAAAGAGACATTCTCCTAGATTCTAAGTTCCTACCATACATTTCACTCCCCACAACACACTCAACTCCTGAACAGACTTTTCACAGAAGCATCCAGTGAATAATTTGTCCAACGAATGATTCTATCTTAAAAGCCAGCTTCTGAGCCACTGAAGACACTGACATTTTAAAGTCATCCACTAGATGGCAGCATTGCTTCATGTCACTACCCTGTTATTTCAGCCACCAGAGACAGGGGATGGGCTAGAATTTACAACTATTCAGGTCAGGCCTACAAGCAAGGAACAATTCTGGATCATCAAAGGAAATAGATTTCATTAAATGTGTAGCAGGAGATTAATAAGATTGTTAAAAGTTGATTTTTTAATAAATGGGAGGAAAATCATCACTAAATAGCTGGAAGACATTGAACAAATCACTTGACCTCTGCAAGGACCTCAGTTCCTGCAAATGGAATTCTAAGAGGTTTAACCAGAGGATCACCACGGTCCCTCCTGCTCTCCGTTTCCACTTTCTTGACACTCACATTAAATAACAATGGCTGGCAGGCAGCCCAGCAACATCCTTCCTTTCCAAGATGGAGAGACAAGAGCTTCCTGGGTTAAGGGAAAGGTCTCCAGAGTCAGGAGCAAGGGTTCAAATCCTTGCTGACTAGCAATGGGCAAGCTATTTAACATCTTTGAGCATCAGCCGCCCCCTATGTAAAAGAGAGAGAATCCATCTGTACCTCATAGGGTGGTTGTGAGAAGCTGAGCAGATTCCATGTGAAGTGCTAGTATATAAATATGTATTCAATAAACAACCGCCACTATTATTGTTGCTGTTGCTAGTAAAAACATTATCATCATTATTATTATGAGATTTTTATTCAATTTAATTCAGCTAAGGTATAAAAAGCAGTGCTTGAGAAGAGACCAGGACTTGCAACAAAGACCTGCAGCCTAATCCTTGCCTTCAAAGTACTTAGGAAGTGTAAATGGGTAAAAGACAGGACTGTAACAACAACAACAACAACAAAACCATAATGCAAAAATATCCACTAAGATAAGCAGATAAATACTGGCAAAGTCAGAGCTGCAGACAGAATGTTTGCCCTCCTCACCACTACATTAGTAACTAATCCCCAGTGTGATAGCATTTGGGGTGGAGCCTGTGGGAAGTAATTATGAGCTTAGAGTCTTGAGCATAGAATCCTTTTTTTAAAGTCTTTATTAAATTTGTTACAATGTTGCTTCTGTTTTAACTTTTGTTTTTTAGGCCAGGAGGCATGTGGGATCTTAGCTCCCCAACCAGGGATCAAACCCACACCTCCTGCACTGAAAGGTGAAGTCTTAACTACTGGACCTCGAGGGAAGTCCCTCTGTAGAGTTTCTACACAAGTTGCCAAGGAGACTAGCTCACCCTACCCATTTTGCCTTGTAAGGACACAGCCAGAAGATAGCCATCTATGAACCAGAAAGCAGGCCTCACCAGACACCAAATCTGCCACCACCCAGATCCTGGACTTTCCAATATCCAGAACTGTGAGAAACAGATTTCTGTTGTTTATAAGCCACCCAGTCTATGGTATTCCATCACAGCAGCCAGAACATAAGGCATCAGGAAAAATGCCATCCAATGTGGGAACAGGGTAGGGGGAGGATCAGGCCAGTTATAGGGATAATACTTTACATTTGTGTGGCAGCTGTAATTTACCTTCTCATACATGAAGTAGTCAGGACAGGTGATTTATGAGCACTTTACAAAAGAACTAGAGCTCAGAGAGACCAAGTACTTTCCCAGGTCACACAGTCAACTATGTGGTAGAGCAAGCCTTGAAACGAAGGTATCTCTGTCAGTCTAGTGTTCTGGTCCCCATACTGCTATCTCAGTTCAGTTCAGTCGCGCAGTCATGTCCGACTCTCTGCGACCCCATGGACTGCAGCACTACAGGCTTCCCTGTCATTCACCAACTCTCAGAGCTTACTCAAACTCACGTCCATCAAGTCAGTGATGCCATCCAACCATCTCATCCTCTGTCATCCCCTTCTCCTCCCACCTTCAATCTTTCCCAGCATCAGGGTCTTTTCCAATGAGTCAGTTCTTCACCATCAGATGGCTGAAGTATTGGAGCTTCAGCTATCTCAGTGAGAGATGCTATTGGCATGGCCCTGAAAGAAAATGTGGGACTTGTCCCAGACCAACTCATCAGGGTCCAAGCATGGGCAGAACAGCCTGGGAGGAGAAGCAGTCTCACTGCGGGGACGTCATGCATGTGCATACGTGTGCATCTTCCAATGTCAGTAGGTGCCAGAGCAACTATTCACTCACTCATTCACTCATTTCAAAGCAAAGAGTTCTGAGCACACCACTTCCTAACTGGGATATGTAACAAATCCTAGTGGGGAGGGGAGTGGCCTCTACCATCTGCTGACTATTCCTGATCTTTCAGCCTTTAACCCCATCACCTTCATGTGAACAGAAGTACTGGCATGGAATTTGCTCTTAAAGAAAAGAAACTGAAGAATGCAAGCTAGCTCAAAAGCCTCAGGTTCTCTTTTAGCACACACCTGAGACAGTTCAAGCAAATTTTTAAGAGTTAAGTAGGAGGATATTCATGTAGCCAAGCATGGAGTTACACTAGCAAACTGCCCTGTCTCTCCAAAATGTATACCCCCTCCCCATGCAAATCTCCATGAACTAAATAAAAATGGCCACAGCTCCAAGGTCACAAAGCCAACTTTTCTTTCCAAGTTAACCACTCTTTAAAAAGACCTTATGCAAAAAAAAAAGGGGGGGGGGGCCACATCAAAGAATTTACTTTTTTGAAACAAGGTAACGTCCACACAAAATATATGAGAGACAACAAAATACTGCTTTAAAAAAAAAAGACTAGTGTCAAGTGGTGGTTGGATTTTTTTTTTTTTTTCCATTTCACATTAAGGAAGGATGACCAAAGGGTTTCAGATACTAACATTTCAAATCAGTGATGCAAGGAGAAAGTCAAAAGGCAAGGTAAGGGAGTACAGAATCAAAGTCAAGGGTGAGAGAAACAGGAAAACAGATCTCAATTTGAAAAGAAGAAGCAAAGTCTAGTGATTAGAGTGATCTTGACCAGCTGCATGTTCCTTGCTGTGGGCACGATGAACAGCACACAGTGTGAGCTGCAGTTTGAGAAGGGACAAAGGCCATGTGGGCAGCAAGCATGGAAGGAAGGATCAGAATGAAGCTCCTGGCTTCTGAGATCCCTTGCAACCCTAGGGTGTTCCAGCAAAGAGTAACCAGCACATATCCACAGTACCATGGAAACATTAAAACACTTTATTCAGGACACTAGTAAAGTCACTTACCTCCTGAAGCTGAGACTCTTTCTTCTTGGAAGACAAATTCAAGTGCTTTTCTAAGATGCCACAATACTTCTCTGTCTCCTTGTCATACTTCTTTTTGGCCTCCTGGCAAAAAAAAAGAGGAAAGGAAAAAGAAAAAAGAAAAATAAGATGTTCCAGGAATGGAAGCAACCCGGGTCAGACTTTTACTGTTCATCTTCATGGGTTCATCATTCCCTTAGACCCAGAAATGTGGCAGACCACCCAGCTCCTACTCTTCCAATAATGCCCATGAAACCAAACAACCACACATCAATATCCTGAAAGTTTTAAGGGTCTACCATAGAGGACTCACTACAATACCAGAAATGAGGTAAATGCCAGTATTTCAAAGTGGCAGAGTCAGGACTCCACCTTCTAAAAACTTCAGTTGTAAGATAGAAATTTTTAGTTAATAACTCACAAGGATGTTCAAAGCCAAAGGAAGAAGGAAAGTTATCTGTAAAGCTAATCCCCAAACAGTAAGGTGTAAGTACACCTTAAAGGGGACAAGTCCAAACTAATGGTAGATCAAGCTTTAACCATGTTCAAAAAGCAATGTTTAATTTGGAGATCTAAACATCCTTGATGCAATAATATCACATGTGGGTCTTCAAGGTAAGGAATAATTCAAAACCAAGAAGATGTTATCTTCCCAGATGTGTTCACGGCAGCAGCATTTATAATAACAAAAAAAAAAGCAACAGTAACAGTGCTGCCTAAGAATAGAATCTGGGATAATTAAAATATGAGGCAATCATTAAACATAACTTAGAAGGCTAGCTAGTGATATGGAAGGATGCTCACAATGTAATAAAAAGTAATGACAGCATGATACAAACGTGTTGCATCCTACAATGTGTCTACCTACAGACAAACATTAGGTGGGAAGATATTTCAGTGAAAATACTTGAGATAGGAAATGGGATAATGAGTGATGTTTTCCTCCATTAGGGAGATGTCTATTATCCTATATGATTGCTTTCAAAATAAAAAATATACATGTACAAAAAAGATCTTCACGACCCAGATAATCACAATGGTGTGATCACTCACCTAGAGCCAGACATCATGGAATGTGAAGTCAAGTGGGCCTTAGGAAGCATCACTATGAACAAAGCTAGTGGATGTGATGGAATTCCAGTTGAGCTATTTGAAATCCTGAAAGATGATGCTGTGAAAGTGCTGCACTCAATATGCCAGCAAATTTGGAAAACTCAGCAGTGGCCACAGGACTGGAAAAGG